ACTTAAAGTATTCTCATGTCTTTGCATCGATTTACTGAAAATTTATTTAGGAGGCACAAGTGTGGAACTTCAAGAAAATTAATTTTTTCATGTGGCAATAGTCAATATTTAAAAGAAATCCTCTATTTATTATTTCTTGAAAAAAAAAACACTAGGTGCCCCCTAATTAATAATTAAATTCATTTGAGAATTGTACAAGCTCCCCCTAATTTAATTTCTACTTTTTCTCGTATTTTGCGAATACATTTGGTGGAAATCCCATCATAACGAATATTGGGATTAATTTAATTTTAGCGTATTAATATTGTCCATGAAATCCGAGAATATTTCGTGTGCATGGAAAGCCCATGAAAAGCCATCCATTTCAGGGATTCGAAAATTTCATTTGATTTTAATTACTTTTCGTAAATAATAATTGCAATAAATCTCATGGGCGTTTTGGTCGATATGAATAATAATCCGCAAACTTATTGAGTCAAATAGAAAATGAGCAAATAAAACATATATTCCATATATATTTTTTATATATTCTTTATAATTTCGAAAATACGTGGAATCCTGATGTTTTATATGCATTTTTTATTTTTTAATCAGGATTATTATTTCAATAAATTTACTAGATTTTTGTGAATAAAAACGTAGGATTTAGAGAATAGAAATTGACGCGATATCAAAAATGCTTTCAGGAATTTACGGTAGGTTTCAGGTAGCAGCCAGTGGTTTTATTTTTAATAAAATAACGTCCCGTGAAGGATAAGAAAAGTTTGACAGAAGGAAAAGAATAAATTGCTTCGTTCGGAGATTCAGAGCAATTCACCGTAAACGATGGTTATTTTCTTTTACCATTTGGAGATTTTCTTCAGCATAAACTCTCTATTCATTCAATATGAAAATCTGTGAGTCATGATTCACTGAATCGAAGCTTTCAGTTTTTTTTCCCTCACTTTCTCGTCTTCAGAGACGAAAAAAACTGATTTCTTGCGGTACGAAATTCTTACTTTATCACGGAATCTCATGTTTAAGTCATGATTATTTGACCGAAATCTGACATTGTCAGACACGTTATCTGAAATTGCTATTTCAAGTAATCTATTTTCAAGATGACATATATTCGGTGTAAGAAATTAGTTTTATGATATTACGACGATTTTTCTGTTGATTAGACGAAATAATAAGACGAAAAAAATATTTTTAGGTCTAGGAACAGAAACCGTAACTTAATTTTGAAATTCCACTTAAATAAAGGACAGGGGATAATTCAATTCACATGAACTTGTGGCACAAGTTAAAAAAAATTAAACAACGGTGTAATCTACAAAATAATTAACAATTTATTAACCTAGTAAATCAATTTCCATTGTAAAATCATTTCATCGTATTATATATTAGTATTTATTTATAATATTAATATTTATATATTAATACCATTATCTTTATACCAATTAATTTATTAAGTGTATTTAATACAATCTGGCAAAATTCAATTGTTCATCAATTTTCCATCGAAAATGGAAATTAGATAATGTTATTGAATTATTAGTTGGGAATATATTATATTTTTTCAATTGAGTATTAAATAATGGAACAACGTACTGTATCGATTATTTATTAAAAATATATATAAAAAATTGATAATTCTGTTAGTACTAATGTGCGATTTCACTGGCCATTAGGTTTTGCGAATATTTTTTCAAATCAATAACCGATTCCAGGATTAACTCGGTGCATTCTCAATTCTTTTTTGATAAAAAATCGGAAACACTGGGAAAGATCGAATTTCAATGTTTGTTCCAAACTCAAACGACCCTCCAACTCATGTGTACTTTCAAATTCGTACGGGCAATATTTGTGTAATTAAATTGCCCGGAAAGTTTCGAGCTTTTTTTGCCCCTGGATAATTCACTGTTGAATCAAAAATTCTGTGACGGATTTTGAAACGCACCTAATGAACTGTGGAACCTGTTCGTTGGGTATTTTCGATATTTTCAATACTGAATTAAATTCGGGAAAAATTCCGTAATTTTCTGCAGAAAATTCAGGTAAAAATGACGGAACGCTGCCGGAAAAATTCAGTGCTAATTCCTCTGAATTTTTTCCCCCAAAATTCAAGTGGATGCTATTTTTTTTTGTCTCAACTGATAGGAATTGATTCTCATTTTGTCGGACACTGATTCCATTATATGAATTGAGCAATTATACGCGTGCTACCTCTAAGACCAATCGATCCATCGATCAACATTGTCGATCTCTTTAGTAATAAAGGATGCCTTTGAATCATCGATTAAATTGACGTGAAAAAATATTCCACTTTTGCATTCCCCCATTATTTAATAAAAATCCATTTCCCAAAATATCACGATCATGCAATAATGATCCCCCGTTTTTTCTAAATTAAAAAAAAAATCATAAAACTTGGAAAAAGCGCAGAAAATATTTTGATAAACCGTGACATCTGACTAAGACAAATTGACTTTTAATAAAATATTTCTGATCGTATAGCTAGAGCCCGATTGTTGATGATCGATACAGACATCACCTCCATAATTCTACCTATTTTGGTGGCAATTCATGGTACGACAAATCGAAGGACACTTGGCCAATGGCAGGTGGATGGGATGCCAACCGAGGCATTGAGGATCTCGATGATTTGCCTCCTTTGGTCTAGTGTACAGTTTGGCATTGTCACGATTGTGATAGGGAATCGGTATGAGGGGATCGGCAGAGGGGAATGGTACAATGTGTGGTGGAGTAGAGACAAGTGCGCATTCCACCGACAATTCTACCCTCCATCCTACCCTCCCCGAACTGCATGCCTATGATTCTTGCTTTCATGGCTTTCATCCGGGGCAGAATGGCTGACACCAAACACGAAGAGGAAAATTCAGTAAATATTACCTATTAATAAATATACCTAACAATAATAATCCTGTTGTCTCTTAGCCATTCAGAAAAAATTGCCTTACGACTTCCTTCTGACTTTCTTTTAAATTATTATTTAAAGTACTAAAATCTATACATATAAGATTTATTTATTGTCAATATAATGTTAAATTATCAACTTACATTCTTTTTTATGTTGATAAATTATTTAATTACTTGGGATCTTCGATAAATCCGGTAAATACTTGAGATTCATTCGACATGTTTGAGATTTTTGCACGACGACGGTGGTTTTCAGAAATGCAACCCGTTTGCCCTGTCGATTTTCTCCTATATTAGCTATTATTATGCAAATATGTTATTTTACACCGGGGATGGTGTTTCTTGTGTTAATTAATAATCGAAGGGGGTAGAGTGGGAGGATTGCCTCGGTTCCTAGCTCCTCGAGCAAAATGGAACGATTGTTAAGAATATGAAAAGCGCGAGTCATTCTGCACGCGCATTTATTCAAAATGTTCTTGTCATTTTATACTTCGCTATCTCGTCTTGTTTTATCTAAGATAATCACCTAAGATAACTCTTCAATTCAATTATCCCACGATTAACATTCAGCACTAAAAAAGCGCTAATTCTCCCCGAATAAATAATTTTAAAGTATAAGTAAACACTAGAAGCTACATTTACCAACCCGAATTTTTCCACAATTGCAAGTATTACTGACTACGAGTTAAAAGGGCGCACCTCCCCGATGAGAAAGATGTAACACAAGTACATTAGGGGAGAGAAAAGCCTCCGACTTGATGCTGCACGTATACGAGGTGAGGGGCAAGGCCTTATTTATTGCACGGCCCGATGAGTGTCATTTGAAATTTCGATATAAATTAATTTAAGGCGGTGGGTGTTGGACGAAGGAAGGGGGGGGGGGGGGTGAAAGTGGGTATTCCCGGGTATAGGATGCAGTGGAACGGGGCGTAATGGTTCGGAAAATGAAGTTCTTGTAGCTTGCCGAGCAGAGAATCTCAAACCCGTTCCCATCTACCCCCTCAATCTCTCTCACTCTGC